TGCTAACCACTGCTGGGCAATTTCAATGGCCCCCTTGCTCTCCTTTCTTAAGGTTCTTAATCTTTAAATGAAACTTGGACCAAACAGCCCTTCAAACACAAGAACTGTCTCAGTAATGTAGGACACACAATCACCCTAGTTTCAATCCAACTCCGGTAAGTTTTAAAAGGTCCATGATGCACAATCAGTGTCCAACTTCATCAATGTCCAACTTAAAATAACAAACTTAGAGATGTAAAGACCCAGAAAGAAAGGGAGGGAAGGGGGGGGAGGTGAGACACATTTTCCTGGTTATTCGCAGGCCTTTCATTTATTTAAAGCATTTCTACCCTGCCCCTTTAGACTTGCGCCCAGAGCTGCTTACGAACAATTTAAAATATATCACTCAGAAAGGGAAAGGGATAGAAAGGGAGGTATCAAGCAAGCTCATACACCAATTCTTAAAGTTACAGTTCTCATGAGGAACAGCTGGGAAAGAAACAGTTCAGGTAGCCTGAAGGAATGGCTGCTGCTGCTAAGTGACAGTTGAAGGAAGGCCAAAGGCAGCTGGTCTCTCAGCAAAAGACTGGCTTCTCTCCCTCTGATCTACAGCCTCCGCAAACTACATAGATTATGTTTACTTGATTGCCTCCCACTACACACACACACACAGTCAAGAAATAAATCAAAGGCGGAAGAAATGAGTGAAAGAACTTGGAATGAGTCAGGGCCTTTCCCTATCTATATCACCACTGGATTAAAAGCGACAAGATGAGCAGTTAAGGTAGGAGGTTGGTTATTCACAGGAACGCCAGAATTACCCAGGAGTAAATCGCAATAACAGCAACGAATGATCATGTAGCAAAAAAATAAAATGAAAAATGGCACCATTCACACCCAAAGTTGCAGAAATACAAAAAATCCTAAAAGTGTGTGTGGTGGGAGGAGGACATAAGCAGACAAGCACCTGTGTGAACTGAGCATGTTCAGGGGCCAGAGAACACAGTGGGGGGTTTTTTTGGGGGGGGAGAAAACTGGGTGGGTTGGAATAGAGTATTCTGGGGAGAATGACTGTCTGAATACCACATTCCAACCCACCACATTTTCTTTCCCCCAAAAGACACTCCGTGTTCTCTGGCCACTAAGCATGCTCAGTCCACACTTGTGCATGTCCTCTCCCTCTCCCTACACTTTTAGGATTTTTTAAATTGTACTTCAACTTTTAGGGTTCCCCAAAACATGCCAATGTCTTTTGGTGTGGATTATGCCATTTTTGCCTACATAGTTATTAGAAGTGAAAGGAGGAGTTTGTATATAAAGGATTGTCACAGTCTTACTTGTTTGTTTTCCTCTGTACCAGGGATGGGGCATCTGCGGCCCTCCAGATGTTGCTGGATTATAACTCCTATCATTCCTGGCTGGGGCTGATGGGAGATGGAATCCCACAACATCTGGAGAGCCACAAGTGCCCCATGCCTGACCTATACCCAAATCTGCCAACTGAGGATAACTTGTTATGCATCAAACTTGTCCACCAAAGCTTATGCCACCTATAATAAATTTATTGAGTCTTTTAAGGTGCCACAAGACTTGTTTTTTCTGTGACAGACAAGCTGTAAGAAAATAAGAACAACGCTGGTGAAACAGAGCAAAGTCCTGTCCAGCATCCTGTTTTCTACAGAGGCCAAACGGCAGTCCCAGGAAATTATGTCCGCAGTAATTCGAAAGGGCACATAGTCAGCACATACTTTGATTCCCCAAGCATCACCAGTATATATTCATGTCCACTGTATAGCAGGCTGGCTCGGCTGGGCAAAGCAATGGGATACAAAGTCTTATGTGAAAAATCACCCACTCCTCAAGGTACAGCCCTTCACACAAACAATCTCATCCTTGTGAGGAGGATGTTGGAAGACTCTTTCCTCCTCCTGCTGAATGAATAGCCTCCAGTGCACTTTGGGTGGGTGGGTGGGGGGAATATACAGATATTGCCCCCCCACTAGCTGTAAAAGTTATTGCTTAAGCAAGCTAGCCTAAGGTGAAAGACCTTGACTCTTGCCCCTCACCCCATCCAATACAATTCCCATAAGCCACCATGGTGTCTTCCTGGTGGTAGTGCAGGAGTAGCTAACATGTGGCCTTCCAGATGTTGCTGAACTACAACTCCCATCATCCCCAAATAGAGGCCATGCTAGCTAGGGTTGAGAGGAGTTGGAGTCCAGCAATGTCTGGAGAGCAACAGGTTAGCTACTATTGCTATAAGGGATAGTTCCCTCAGGGCAGGCCCAACCAAGAGGCAAGGTGAGACAACTGCCTCAGGTGGCAGAATCCTCTTGGACAGCAGATCCTGGTGTTGAACTTCCTTTCCCCACCTTGCTCCTGATGTAGGTCTTTCCTCACCCCGTCTTCCCTGGCAGGGAGGAAGGCGTCAATTTAGGGTCTGCCTCAGATGCCAGAATGTATTGCTTTCCCTTGGTCTACCTCTCCCAGTAAGACTTAATCTTCCCAGGACACACTTCCATTTTCCCACTAGAAACCTCAACCACCACCTTCCCTTTCGTCTCAGGAAATGGCACATCTCTCAAAGAAAGTCTGTAATAAGAAAGCGATAGAAGCCAATCTTCCAAGTGTTTGCTCAAAAGCAGGGACGCGGACTTATAAAAAATATTGGGGGGGCCCGGGAAAGCTCATGAATAATAAATAAGCTCATGAATATGCAAATAAAGTGGCGCCGCCTCCTCGTGAGCGAATAGGGGAGAGCGTGCTGCGCCTATTAATCAGCTCCAAAGGAAATTGGGTGGAGCTTTTGCTCGGGAGGGAGGGCAGGAGGCATGCTGCCCGCCCCTGCCTGTGCATTTTGGGCTGGGGGAGGGGCGGCGATGGCGCTCTGCTGGAGGGGCGCCGGAGATTATTGGGGGGGCGAAAGTTTGCTCAAAAGTAAGTTGCAGGGAGTTCAAGCAAACTTACTCTGAAGTAAACATCTACATGACCCACAGCATTGGATAAATATTTGCAGAATGAGGACCAATAATAACAATCCCACTTGATTCAAATGCCAAGCATACTCAGAGACACAACTGGGAGAGATCAAGAAATCTGATAGCATCTCTCTTGGTCTTTTGCCTGAAGACATAGCAATAGCTTGTGGAAGGACACAGAGCCTTACAGCTTGCAAACTCTGGTATCCTATTCATTTGCTCTTCTGCCTCAAACTCCCCACCCCCATGATTTATAACTCTTTCCCCAAATAAAATGTTGCCATTGGATACAATCCTGCAAACACCACATGCTAATCCCCTGAAGCGGGAACAGTTTGTTCTTAAATACAGTTGTGAATAAATCTCACCCTTTTAAAGGAGACTCTAAAATTTAATTCGGCACCAGTGGCAGGAGAGAAGCCAAAGTTACTCTAGAAAAGTCAAACAGACCACACCCATTCACCTCAGCCAAACAGAGGACTGCATAAAAAGTTGTACTAGGCCCACACTTCTCAAACCATAGTGTAGAGAAGCCCCATTATTAACTTCAACTGCATTCACATTTATTTCTCCTTCACAGGGAGAAATTCCACTGTAAAATATGGATGAAATGTTGCCACCCGCCCCCCCCCCGAAAAATCTGCGCTATGGCAAATAGTCCTCCTTTCACGAGGTTTTCCAAGGCTCACCTCTCCACTCACCCATCAAGGGGCGACCTTGAGTCAGTCAACATCTCTCAGTCCAAAATCTCCCTCGCGGGACTGTTTTGAAAATAAGAGCGGAATATGCCACCCCACCCTGAGCTCCTTGGAGAAGGGTGGCACACAAAATACAAATAAAAATAGTAAATAGTAACCTGTAATTGTTTACTCCGGAGGATGAGGTCCCGCTCAATTCCATGGGTTCACCCGCCAATAGGTGTGCATGGGACTGAGGGCGTACCAGGATGTGGCTCTACCGACCACCATATACCACTACCTAGAAATGCCGGAGGGGGAGCGAAGGGGGGGGGATTATGGCATGCAACCTAAACGTTGATACGGTTTGCTCAGGCTGCAAAGCCTACGCACTTTCAAAGGGAAGTAAACCTATCATTGTCACCCGTGATCTGGAATTCACTTCAGAGTAAACGTGCACTGGATCGGGCTACCGATGTGCGAAGAACTGGGTCGCGAGACGCACAGAGAGGTTTGTTTTCCAGCGGGGGGAAAACAGGACCGTTGTATGTCCCGCCTCCCAAAGGTTTGGAGAGCAGCTACTCCCCGCATATTATTTTATATATTATATTATATACATATATATGGCAAGTTTTCGCGTGACACCAGCGACCCACGGATCCATCAAGTTAACACCCGAGAGGAAGGAGAAAGATGCTCTCCTTGCTGGGGACGGGGGGGGGGGCGTTTTTCATTTCCGAAGGAGAGCGAGCGCCAGGGCAGCAGCATTAGGGAAAGTCTGGCTGGATTGAATGTCCAAGAGCGGTTGTTGCTATTTCTCCTAGGCTCTCCAAACTGAAGGAATTTTTAAATATATAAACGAAAACTCCTTTCTGGCAGCGTGTTTCCATTTAAAGTTCTCTCTCGTGCTTTCAGTAGAAACATCAGCGAGATTGCGATCACCATTTGGAAACAGCCATCCAGGCATTTTCTCCCAAGCACATACTGCAAATCTCCACTAACTTGAGTGGGTTTTGGCAGCGCAAAAAAGAGAAAGAAATCGCCACAAGTAGCATAACACCAGAGCAGCTGTGTTCCTCTGCAAGGCATCGGCAGCCTGATTTAGATTTGGAGCGGAGGGAAACACCGTTTTCCTCTCCCACCTTATATTTTTCCCGTTTTATAGCTCCCATCAGCAAGGAAAAACTTGACGGGGCTGAACTACTGCAACACCACCAGTTGCACTTTTCCAGCCAACAGCACAACTCAATGTACGGAAGACAGAAAAATCAGCCGCCTTTTTCTAAAACTCTCGCTTGGAGAAAGAAAGAAAAAAACTCTAGCAACAAGTGCCTGCAGAACAGCGCGAAAAAAAGCAAAGGAGTACCTGACGCTCCGCCGCCACTTGCTCCAATGAAGCTGCGAGCTCAAGCTGCTCCCGCTGCCCAGACTCAGCGCTCTGCAATCCGAACGCCCCAGCTGCCACTCAGCGCGCACGAGAAACGCGAAAGCCCTCGCCGAACGCAACTTTCTTGAGCCAACCGCGACGCCGTACCGCTCGGACCGTACCATTCCGCACCCTCGGAGAGGGGCCGGATTAAGAATAGAAGAGGGCGCTGTCCCCAGCCCTCCACGGGGCGTGTTGATCTGCGCGGAAATCTCCCGCGGTTTGTCTCTTAACGTGCTCACTGTAGCGTACTGCTGCGGAAGTCTGAAAACAGTTTTCCCCCCCATTGCGTGGATTAGTAGCGCCCGGCGAGGAGGGGGCGTGGCGATTTGCAAAGCTGGTAACGGCGGCAACGGTGCGCGCGGGACGCGGCGAGTGTCCGTTAGGTAGGTCAGTTGGTCCGCCAAGCCTCCCGCTTTAGTTCGGGTTTCCCTTTGTCGCCTTTTCCCCGTCCTCCCCCCTCTTCAAAAACGCTCGTAGTAAGAGAAGGAAAGTATCTCGTAGCAGTCGCGACTTTCCTGCTCCTTCACCGCCGCCGCTGCTACTGTTAACATAACGGTAATGCTAATAAATAATGATGCGTTACCTTTTCATTCTGAAGGAGAAAAGAGTGAGAAGCGGGATTAAATCGCTTCCGAAGGCTGAGACCGGTTTCTGTGAACGCGGGCGGTTTCTCCTCTGCCCCTTCCTCCAGTTTCTGTAGCACCATCTTTACATCTTGCTCGGGGCCACCGATCCCGGCCAGGCACTCTGATGTGGGCAAGGACGGAAGCCACCCGCCCCTCTTTATGTAGCTTTAAAGTATTGGCGAAATCTGGGGCGGGCGAGGGCTTGGCCATGTTTACTTGGAGAGTTAAGGAGGATGACGAGTTGATTTCAAGCAAGAGCCTCGTGGTGCCTTGAACACTTAACACATTTATTGTGATATATGAGTTCGCCGTTTGGAGCCACCATTCATTCTTACCAAGTAGTTCACTAAAGTTTATGCCACAAGTTATATGGTTGTCTTTCTGGTGCCACAAGAGGCTTACTTGCGTTTGTTGTGACATTCCAAACAAAGCTGTTCCTCTGGATCTCATTGCTTGCTTTGAGACTCGCACCCAAGTGTCCGCGCATAGGATTGCAGCTTGAGTTGCAGTATTTCATCTTCACGATAATCCCATGAGGCAAGTTGGCACTGGGCTAAGAGGCTGATTTGGCTGGTGGCCACCCAGCAAGCTCCTTGGTTCCTCCAGCATCCAAACTCAGCACTCTAGCATAGGTGGGGCCCATGGACATAGCCAGGATGTTTGCTAAGGGGGGAAGGTCTTTTGTTGGGGGGACAGAACCTCAGTTTGCTAGGTATTTTTATTGAATTTTATTGATTTGGGAGGGGCAGCTGCCCCTCCCTGCCCCCCCCCCCAGCTATGCCCATGGAGGGACCCAGTCATGCATGCTGCCTGACTCAAACCAAGGGGTGGATAAGGAGTGCCTCTAATATTTATTTTGCATTGTAAAAAGCAGTTAACTGCAGTCGAAATATATATTAAAAATAAAAAAATTGTCCACTAGTACCTTAGAGACCAACTAAATTTGTTCTTGGGGACGTGGGTGGCGCTGTGGTCTAAACCACTGAGTCTTTGGGCTTGCCAATCGGAAGGTTGGCTGTTTGAATCCCCGCGATGGGGTGAGCTCCCGTTGCTCAGTCCCAGCTCCTGCTAACCTAGCAGTTTGAAAGCATGCCAAAAAGTGCAAGTAGATAAATAGGTACCACTCCAGCAGGAAGGTAAACGGCATTTCCATGCACTGCTCTGGTTTCGCCAGAAGTGGCTTAGTCATGCTGGCCACATGACCCGGAAAAACTGTCTGCAGACAAACGCCAGCTCCCTCGGCCAGTAAAGTGAGATGAGCGCCACAATCCCAGAGTCGTTCGCGACTGGACTGAACTGTCAGGGGTCCTTTACCTTTAAATTTGTTCTTGGTATAAGCTTTCGTGTGCATGCACGCTTCTTCAGTTAACTGCAGTTTAATCTTTATTCACCTTTTTGCTTGGAGGTAAATGGGTCTTAAATTATTGGAATAATGCTCTTCAGTTTAAATGCAAAAGAGAACTGGTTGAGCTATCAAATTATTAGTTTATTGAAAAACAATTCCTATTAATGGCAATCAGTAACTTTGAGTTATCAGTAATGGTTATTGTGCTTCAATAAAACTTAAAAATATTAATTCATAGCCAGCCCAGATTAAGCTAGACTCAGTGAAATTCCTCTCAAAATTGCTGTCTTATACAAAGGTGAAATGCAAACATATACTTAGGTCAAAGCGCTGACAACATTTTGAAGAAAGGATATCGGTTTTGCCAACCAGCATCTATAGCCAGTGTTGGTTTTCTTCAAAACCATTAAGGTTCTTGGAATTAAATACATTCAAGTCATACATTAAATAACTTTATTTGTTATGAGACTTCAGATAAGTGTGCATAGGACTGCAGCCTTAGCACATGTAAGAGCACATACAGTGGTATCTCGGGTTACATACGCTTCAGGTTATGTACGCTTCAGGTTACACACTCCTCTAACCCAGAAATAGTGCTTCAGATTAAGAACTTTGCTTCAGGATAAGAACAGAAATCGGGCTCCAGTGGCGGCAGGAGGCCCCATTAGCTAAAGTGGTGCTTCAGGTTAAGAACAGTTTCAGGTTAAGTACGGACCTCCGGAACGAATTAAGTACTTAACCCGAGGTACCACTGTATTCAGAATTGTACTAAGATTTGTGTTGAATACACACTTTGTCCCGATTGCATAGGGCTCTCAGAGTTCGCTTCAGATGTCCAGACTAAGCATGCAAGAACAAAAAGTGCATAAGGAGCCTGGGGCTTGCATGCTGGTGCTGCCCCACAACATCCCCAGCTTGTTGGTTCAAACCCCAGCCCTCCCACACTGAGCAGGAAGAAAAATCTTTTAAAGCCCCTTCAGGAAGCTCAACACAAGAAGGTTAAGAGGTAGAGCCAGCTTGTGTGGGGACAATGTGGGTGGGGCCAGTGTGCATGCCTCTGCCCTGTACACGCTTTTTGCCCTGACCAGTTCAGGCTGAACACCAGAAAGAGGGCTCCAGTGCTTCTACTTTCAGACACTGACCAGGTCCACACCCTTTGGAACTAATGCAGTTTAAATGCCTTGGTTAGACTGCTTGGTATTAGTTTTAGATACATCAGATCATGCGCTTACTGTTTAAATTCCCTGTTTTTAATGTTTCCCTAGGTGTAAAATGATCATACCAGTGAGATGCTTCACTTGCGGCAAAATCGTTGGAAACAAATGGGAGGCATATCTTGGTCTTCTGCAAGCTGAGTATACAGAAGGGTAAGGACTCTGCTTCACACACTTGTGTTTTCACAGCTGTTTTGAGAAAAGTATCCATTAACATTTTGTAGTAGTCTAGGGATCATTCACAAAAAGGTATGTATATAACACTCTTTATCCTGTGCTCATGTTTTATGAAGTGTAGGTCCAATTTTTATAAATAATAATTACATCAGTATAGAACCATATTAATAATGAAAGCATAAACTCAGGGATATTTTAAAGTGCAATCCTAGTCCTGTCTACTCAAAACTTAGTCCAATGAATTCAGTGGAGCTAACTCCAAGGGTAGTGGACTTAGAATTGCAGCCTAAGCAAGTTACCTACAAATAATTGAGATTGCCTGATTTTCTTGAGGGGGCTTTTCAGAGTTCCATGGGGGAAATGTAGCTACAGTACTGAGGAACTAACATTGGAGACATTTTAAACCCCCCTTTGCTTTTTCTCAGATATGGCTCAATGTAGAAGGTTGTACTCTGATTAAACGAATCCCTTGCTGCACTTGAAATGAATTATGAAAATTGGAAAAACTTCCATAAACATGCTTGATTTGCATATTTAAGTTGGATTGTATAAACTTGAATTTCCTTTGCCTAAGTACACTGCTTCCCCGAAAGTAAGACATCCCCCGAAAATAAGACCTACTTCCAGTTTTGCCTCTTGCTGTAATATAAGGCCTCCCCCAAATATAAGGCCTCCCCAGTAATAAGGCCCCCCCAGAATATAAGGCCCCCAAAGCTACTTTGTAAGGCTTTGTACCGTATGCAAGTAATAAATTTCCTTTTTTTTGTTGTTGTTCAACAATAAATGTGTACCGTATTCTTCATGGAAAAATAAGACATTCCCTGGAAATAAGACCTAGCGCATCTTTGGGAGCAAAAATTAATATAAAACACTGTCTTATTTTCGGGGAAACAGGGTATGAAATTCAAGTGAAAGTTCTTAGGTTGATTTAGAAATTTGGTTGACCTCAGTCTTACATTGCTGAACTTTAAGTGAAAGCACTTTCCCACATATAAAACTTACTGACAAAGTGAGAAGTGAATGTCGAACACAATTGGAGCATTTCAATCTCTCCCACACAGGTAGAGCTGCAAGAACTGACACTATTTCAGCATTTATATTCAAGCATCCTCTAGTGCTCTGATTAAGCATTACCATCTGACATGGCAAACAAATCAATGAACAGAAGATAGTGTTGCCCTGTATCTTTTGTACAGTGGTGCCTCGGGCTAAGAACTTAATTTGTTCTGGAGTTCCGTTCTTAACTTGAGGTACCACTTTAGCTAATGGGGCCTCCCGCTACTGCTGCGCCGCAGTGCCGCAATTTCTGTTCTCGTCCTGAAGCAAAGTTCTTAACCTGAGGTACTATTTCTGGGTTAGCGGAGTCTGTAACCTGAAGCATCTGTAACCTGAGGTACCACTGTATTTCAGTGTAATGTTTTGCACAAACATAACTCTCTTGCATTTCTGTTAACAGTATGGTCCTATCCTTGCTTTCATAGTTCCATAGGCTTATTCCCAAGTACATATAGGATTGTAGCCATGGTTCCATTTTTCAGAAAACAATTCTGTTTCTCTTGAGTAGTATGAAATGACAGGCCCCATTGTCTTGCTGAGTCCTCAGAACTCTTGAGAACTTAGAACATCTAAGATCCTATAATTAATTAAAGGCTAATCTTAGAAAGTACCTAAACTTTCTGCTGTCACGCTTCTTTCCCCCCTGTGGTTACAGGAGTTAGACATTTTTAAAAGGAACTGAAATTCTATTTTAGGGCATTTTAAATAGTATCTGCTTTTTTAGAATACCAATTAGCTCTTAAAAGGTGCACAGGTTTCTGTGAGCTGCATGATATGAACACTTGGTTTAAATTTGATGATATGAAAAGATGTTTTGTATACTAGAACAAAGAAGCTTCTTTATTTCTACTGTGTCGCTGATGCTGCTAAAAATAGAGTATAACACATGTAATATGTTATCTGGGCTGGGCTGGATGAATCCCAAGCCGGAATTAAGATCGCCGGAAGAAATATCAACAACCTCAGATATGCAGATGACACAACCTTGATGGCAGAAAGTGAGGAGGAATTAAAGAACCTTTTAATGAGGGTGAAAGAGGAGAGCGCAAAATATGGTCTGAAGCTCAACATCAAAAAAACGAAGATCATGGCCACTGGGCCCATCACCTCCTGGCAAATAGAAGGGGAAGAAATGGAGGCAGTGAGAGATTTTACTTTCTTGGGCTCCATGATCACTGCAGATGGTGACAGCAGTTACGAAATTAAAAGACGACTGCTCATTGGGAGAAAGGCAATGGCAAACCTAGACAGCATCTTAAAAAGCAGAGACATCACTTTGCCAACAAAGGTCCGTATAGTTAAAGCCATGGTTTTCCCAGTAGTGATGTATGGAAGTGAGAGCTGGACCATAAAGAAGGCTGATCGCCAAAGAATTGATGCTTTTGAATTATGGTGCTGGAGGAGACTCTTGAGAGTCCCATGGACTGCAAGAAGATCAAACGTATCCATTCTTAAGGAAATCAGGCCTGAATGCTCACTGGAAGGACAGATCATGAAGCTGAGGCTCCAATACTTTGGTCACCTCATGAGAAGAGAAGACTCCCTGGAAAAGACCCTGATGTTGGGAAAGATGGAGGGCACAAGGAGAAGGGGACGACAGAGGACGAGATGGTTGGACAGTGTTCTCGAAGCTATGGACATGAGTCTGACCAAACTGCGGGAGGCAGTGGAAGACAGGAGTGCCTGGCGTGCTCTGGTCCATGGGGTCACGAAGAGTCGGACACGACTAAACGACTAAACAACACCAACAATATGTTATCTGAACAGTGGCTCCAGCTCATTCAGAGCCTTTCTTTTAACATGGTAGTTTCAAATGCATTAATTATATAGAAAAGCATAAGTAACACTTGCTTGATTTTTTAAAATCACAAACTATCAAGTGCTGTGGCAGATTTCTACCTATTAACATTGTTTTAAGAGCTCATGTGTTTTAAGAAAAATGCTAGTACATGCTTCACTTATGGGTGCTACATAATTCAGCTTCTGAGACCTGTGTAACACTATTTTCCAAATAGGAATTAAACATCTAGATAATATAAAATCAAAAACATATAGAAGGAAAGGATGAAGAAAAGCTTTCTTTCTTGACTAGCTAGTGTCTAGAGAAGTCTCATATATAATCTTCGTTGTTGCTGTATCCATCATTTTTCTTACCTATGCAGCATTGTTTCTGGTTGTAGTTAATCATAGCCATTCTGCTAGCAATTGATTTTCCATTGCAAATACAGAATTGGAATTTATGGATCTAGAATTTGAGATTAAGTAGTACTTTAGTACAATATTTGCATGATAAATGCACCTGAATTATGCCTTGGGCATAAATCAGATTCTCTTGCAATTTATTGTGTGATTTTACATTGACCAAGTGGGTAGACAATACATATTTGAGTTTCTCCCTTGCAGCAAAGCTGTCTGTTAGCTCAGTGCCTACTCACAATTTTGAGGGCAGATCTATATGTCAGATATTATTAAAATCATTTCTTGTAGCAAAAAATGGGTCAGCTAAAGGGAATAATTTACTTGTCTGAGGATGCAGAGATTTTGCAGAATTTGGAAATGCTGTTTTTCTCTTACATTGAGTTTCTTCAGACAGTTATTTAGAATATTGGAGGTGGTAAAATATTCAAAAATCTATTCAGTTCTGCTGATTAGTTTAGCTAAAAATATTCCACATTCAGAGTTTTGAAAACTACACCATGGGTTGATAACAATCAAGGTGTGGGGGCTTATTTTAAGTATTTTGTAGTGCCAAACGTTTCTGCAATTTTGGGAAGGTTAACAGCACAATCTTATGTATGTCTACTTAGAAGTAAACCCCACTGTTTAGGATTGCAGCCTAAGTGCTAAAAATAAAATAAATATGAAACTGATTGAGCCTCTATTAAAATATTTGACAGGGTGATTTATGTTGTTATCATTATTTGAATAACTTCTGAGGTCATACACTGTACTGAAGATTTTATCCTATGTGGAAATCTAGTGTGTGTGCTGGAGGCCTCTTAAGTTCAAGAGGCACTGTCTTATTATGCTCATCAGCTTTCTGCTTCTATTTTATGACTTCTACCTACTTGATCTGTGAGCACCTCACATCTCAAACTGAATGTTAATTACTCTAGTAGGCCCATAATGGGAATGAGAACTTGGTTTGCCCATACCACCACCCTAGCATAAATCATGAGCAAAATTCTTAAATGGGAAATTTAAATTCTTAAATGGGAAATTTATTACTTTATTACATGTCAAAATGTACATTAATAACACTTGGAAAAACTCAACTTCTTTTTGAATGTGTTGCTACATCAGAGGGTCAACTGCCCAGCCATTGCTAATCTTAGCTCATCAGTCTCCATTGAAAGCTCCAATGGAACAGAAACTAATGCTGACCTAAAAGTTCAGGTTAGACACCAGAGAAGCTGTATCTTTTAAGGTAGAGGATAGATAGCAAAGCCTGAACTTGGAGTTAACTGGGCACTAATAAGAAAGAACCTGTCTAAAACAGTCACCCAACTTACTGTCCCCTCACTGATCATTTATCACATTCATTAGAGCAGCACTGGGAAACCTCTAGCCCACCGGCATACTAATCCTTCCAGACCTCCCCATTTGGCTGGTAAAGTGATGGAGGGGGCACACATTCACCTGTCCATCATGATTGGTGAAGGCACAGAGCCAAATTCCAGAGCTAGAATTGGGAGTAAACTGTAAGTTTCTAGCCAATTCTTCCTTTCCAGCCTCTACTTCAATTTGGCACTTCTTGAATTTGGCACCTTTGTTGCCCTGCCTAGCTGCAGAAAAAGGAACCCCCTTGAAATTAAAAATTGGGAGTGATACCAATTCTTCCTTTCTAGCTGCAAAGAATTGTGAATGTCATATGATGCCAGGTTAAAGGTGGCTCCCAGGTCTGAAAACATTAAAGACTGCTGGTGGTGTAGACAGTACTAGGCTAGGAGGACCAATAGCCTGACTTAGAGTAGCCATGCCTACTTCATGGCCTCTTACCAAACTGCTTTTGTTCCTCCAGTCCTGCTGCTACTGCAGCGTTCGAAATATATATGTGTAGGAAGACTTTATATTGGACCTACAGAATATGTCAAAATGGACATCTGTTGTTTGAGAGTGCTTCCAAAGTCTTCCGGTGTTTGCTAACTTCTTTGCTGAAGGAGACATTTGGATATAAGGTGATTCATAAAAAGTAGTAGTAGTAACGACGACAAATAATACTTAGACCGGGGTGGACCATCTGCTGTAATCCTGCTTCCCCTACTATGCATATTCACTCATCCCGGGTTTGTGGTGAAAACAGCACTTATTGTATGGATGGGAGAGAGGAAAGTTAGAAAGGGCTCCTGAAGATTGCTAGAAGCCAGAAGTGTTTGTGATGGGGAGCACAGTGAATCGCAGAGCACAGGCATGGCGTAAAAGTAAGCTAATTCTAGATGTGTTTTCAGGTAATGGTTTGTTTATATGTCTTTGGGAGAACGAAGCTCCTTCAGGAGCCCAATACCGGCAGAAACAGTGTTCTGTGCATTTGATGCTTTGTTACAAGACTAACATAAACTAGTCCACAGACATACAAGCTTGTGGGTTTCCCGCCTACCCTCCAGGCCTTTTGTTTTCTTGGAACATAAGGGGGGAAAGTCTGTGGCTAGGTAAACCTTAATTAAGAGACAGGTGGCTGAGATTTCATCTTAGGGATCCAATAACTGTTCTTAAAGAGAAACTCAAGGCAGGCAGGCTATGATGGAAGTTGTGTACTTTTCAAGCACACTTTACATCTGCTTCTCTAATGGGCAAATAATAAAGTTAAGCCTGTCACATTCAGTATTGTTAAAATGTGTTTATAGTCATAATGAATTAAAAAACTAAAAACTAGCAGATTATCAAAGTGAAACTTAGAGAACAGTAACTTGCATACAGCAGCAGTCTTGTAAATGGCTCTGAGGATAGCATTTTCTAAAATCAAGCCGTATATAAATGTTATGAAATGAAAAATAAATAGCAATCCTATTCGTCTGATCCTTGGGGAGTGGGGGTTCAGCCCCCTACCCCAGTCAATCACCTTGCTTCTATGGACTATATTTTAATATTTTTAGAATATTTTGAAATTGTTTTAGTTTTTTAAAAAATGTTTTATTATCACTGTGCCTGCCACCCTATGATCTTTGGGGAGGAATGTAAATTGTAACAACAAGAACCGTAATATAGTTCCTCTTCTATCTCATGGACAAGGCTTTTCCCTTTATTTGGCTGGGATCAGGTTTCAGCATGCTGCTTTTCTTTCAAACACACCTGCTTTTTGTTTGTTCTTAGTGATGCTTTGGATGCTCTGGGTCTGAAGAGATATTGCTGTCGGCGAATGCTGCTTGCCCACGTGGATCTGATTGAGAAGCTCCTGAATTATGCCCCTCTGGAGAAATAAATAGCAGAAAGAATGTGTTATACTACATACATATGGACCAGCGTGCTGCTAGAACTCCTCAAACTAAGCTGCAGGGGGTTACAAATGCAGATCATCATGTCCAGTGAAGGATTTCACTCTCTGGGCATGCTATAGGCCCTAGCCACTAACCTCTTGAAAAGAAATTACTGAAAGATGAAATCCACTTACACACAGTTGGGGACTGTAGATTTAATTAAAACAGGGATGGAAGTTCATCAGAATCTCATGGGTTGTGGAGAATTGTGATTTTTTTAAAAAACTGTACTTTGTGCTACTGGCAGCAGTTTTAATAAAGGTTGTCGTTATAGCCACATTGTGATTTTGTAAGGATTGTCCTTCATTTCATCCTGTGGTGCTCCTCTTACTCTATCAAGACTCTCATACAAGAAACTAAAGAGAACTGACTGCATGCTAACCTATTTCACTTGTTCACTCCTGGACTTCCTATCATTTTAGGGGTGGGATGGAAATAACCTCTCTGGTGTTGATCCACACTATTACATTATATGAAGTTATCTTAAAGACGTGAGATCCAGTTGAGTGACAAGTACCATGACTTGTGATATGAAAAAGTAATAAAAATGGAGGATGGATTTTGTTTGCTTAGAAAAGCCAGTCTGTGGGTTTAAAGGGGGGGGCATTATCCATCAAACTCAATCTATTGCATTCAGACTGAGGGAACATCTTCTAAGCTACCAGTGTATATTGCTGGCACAATCTTCTTCCTTCCATTTCTCTCGCATGTCACATTGCAAAACTGGCAGTCCATTTTCCAGAACTGTGGTGTAAGCTCCAGTTAAAGAGGAGGTGAGCAGATTCAGTAATACAGGGCAGGTAAAAGGCCTGTTTTCTTGTCTGTGCAAAATAAAAGGTTTTGCTTCTACCTGTTTTGTATGTTCCATAATCAGTGCAGAGCCAGCTGTTCATTAGGCACATAAAGTTGGAAAATAAATACTTGGATGCTGATCATCTCTTTGACACAGCTGTTAAAACAGAGGAAAGGAACTTTGCTTTGCTTTTATTTAGCAAGATGCAGTGTTTGTAACCTCACCACCATTGCACAAACACTGTAAATTTGAAAACTTGCCTTCATATCAGTGCCAGGCTATCTCCTAAAGCCATTGATAAAGTCTCCTTAGTTTGATTAAAAAAAAAATACTACAGTTACAGGAAAGTAGGCCTGCTTTTCCACACGCATCTCAGAAATTACTGGTGCAGATTGTTCTGAGATTTTGCATACCCATTTGTTTTTCATTGTCTTTCATTTAATAATAAAAGCAACCTGCATGCTTGAGAAAGAAAATGCATCTATAAAGCACACTGGAGTCCTAGAAATTAAGAGTCCCGCCAATACAGAAATGTTGATGAAGTCTGGGTAGTGTGTGAATGGGAGACCATCACACAATCCAATCCCATGTATGCTGCCTACAGTTTTTCTGAAGAACAAAGGTGAGTATAAATAAATAAATAAATAAATAAATAAATAAATGAATGAATGCTGCAGAATAGTCCTTGGGCTTGGTACCCAAAAAGTTTTGACAGAATTTTGCTGTTTCTCCACATGCATGGTTTGGTCCCTAGTAAATAAGTGAATTTTTTGCACATGGGGGTAAGGAGCACTGTAGAGAAGACAAACTATGGATATTTATTTAGTTACTGAGATAGCTAGCTGTGCACAGCGTCTTCCTTATAGAGGTCCACTTTTGCCAAGACTGCTTTAATTGAGTTTTATTAATTTGCTTTCCCTTTTTGGAAACCCCTCCGATCTGGGAACATTATTAAGCTCCTAGCCATTATTATTCTCATCAGTTCTGTGAATCTTTACAAGTTAAGCTTCCTTTTTCATTTATTACTGGGATGCAGGAGATTGCTCTTCTTTTTCCCCCAGCATTCAGCAGTTCCTCATTTAAAAGTGCTCTGTTGTATTTTAAACCACATACTTTATCCTAATGCAAAGGGCATTAAGTGATTAATTCTGGCATTTGTGTTTCACAGTTGGTTGGAGAGCTTATGTTTTGTACGCCTGCCACATTATCTAGGAAAATGCCTGGAAAAACAACATTCTGTTTTAGGCTACATGGTTCTGGAGTGCATAAGTTACCCATCCAAAGTTGTGTCTTTAGGGAACAAGGTTGTGTTAGCTTCTGGGTGCCAGGTCAGATGAAGCAAGAAGCTTTTATATGAGTTTCACCCCTGCATTATCTGACTCTAGCAGATGTGCCGGTTTTATCCTTGATCATTTTACAGCCCAGTTCTATGTCCCTCGTAATTTTGCCACCACTGAGTAAGAGCTTGAACCTTCCCAAGATGGTTGGTATCATGCCTATGCAGATACACAACACAAGAGGGCACCATTGGTGCAACTGCAAAACTATTGTCATGGCTACCAGACCCATTTTGTCCCTAGGCCGATGAGTGTAGGATTTCGAAGGGTGGGCAAAAGAGATAACAAGCTGATTGCGGTGAGGTGGGAAGCAAGCTGTAGCAATACAGAGGAGCAGGGGGAGAGAAAGAAGAGTCCAGTCATGGAGAAAGGGTGTGGGATTGAATATGAATATTTGTGAAGGTTGGTTATTGCCATAAGCAATTGGAGGGGGGGGGAGAATTCTCTCAGCCCAAACCTGGGGAAAACTTTAAAAAGCCATACAACAGAAAGCAAGTACAGTAGTCTGAAAAAGGATCCCTTAGCCTCGTTGGCATGTGCCACAACAAGCTTTCTCTGGAGCTGGGGGAGAGGGGAGACTAAAGCTTAAGGAGTCCTCCTGGCAAGAGATAAAATTTATCAGAGCACATGCAGAAAACAAATTGCAGAAAACAAAAGGCAGAGAGAGGCTTTTGAAAGTGAGCAGCTAACAACAATAGGCCATCCTCTTCACTGGCATTCAAATCTGTCCTGCAGTCAATAAAACTAAAACAGTTTTATATGGACAGAAGGGAATTAGGCCCCATGTGGTGAAATGGATTTTCCACCTATGTTTGAGGACTGTAAAATCAACACGTTTAATAGTATGCACTTGAGAAATGAAGTGTGATGGGTCCTTAAATGTTCAGTCACAGTTTCTTTGCTACTGAGATGAGAATTTGACCCTCTTCGTTTTAAATATGTAAATAGGAAGTGAAAAATGCTTCCATTCTGGCAATTAAGCTCTGGAAGTAATTAGTGCAGAGGACGTGCCCTGGTTTCGTTTTAAAGGTACACAAAGATTGTCAGTGGGTATGTGCTGCAGCTGTTTGTTTACCAACTTCTATGTGATCTATTACTTTCACATGTAACACAGTAAAAAATAAATCAGATTAAATCATTTCCCTTCTATAAGAGATTTGTATTTTAGTACTGTATAGGCTTCAATAGGAAGATGCTTATCTTTCATCCAGTGAATGTAGTCCTGTTATGTTAACCAAAATTTTACCTACCTCTTAAAAGGAGAAACTTAACTGTTCATGTGTATGCAAAGAGGTATGTGTTCATATAACCACTAAAGGCAGGTTCACACCTGTACATCATGCACACTCATTCTAGTCCCTGTAACACGTGACCACCAAACTGGTCTTTTTTCTTATTCTACTGTACATACACTCCACAGGGACCCAGGGCTCCCTAGAGCAGATGTTGTTGGTCAGGCCTACAACTCCCACTGTCTTTGATCTTTGGCCATGCTGGCTGGGGAACCACAGGTTTGGCATCCCTGTTCTACAGTATGTGCACAGAGAGGGGAGCAAGTACAGCTCTTGCAAGTTTCAGGCAATATGCAGTTTACCAGTGTGCATCCCGTTTTCCACGTCAAGCAGCCACAAGAGTATTTTCAGACTAAGGAAATCATGTTCCAGTGCAGAGCATGATAAACGTTTTGGCAGTCTATCAGGGGAAGGAGTTCCATAGCTTGGGAAACAGCAACAGGAAATGCCTTGTGAGTGCCTTGACTGAATGGCCTTGGGCAAATCACTCTAGCCTTCTGGTCAGGCCTGCAGGCTTAAAGTGGGAAGGAGGTATGCATGAAAGCCCTGCTGCTCCACATTCACTTCAGACCTCCCTGTATTCCTTGCGAAGTTCTGAAGGGGATTCACAAATGCATTCAGGTGAATGTGCCTAGACTCCTACCTGGAGTCAGGAAGCCTTCATTATTGGGGTTGTCAGTAACAGGGAGGAGTCCAAACATGGTCACATGAGCATGGTTAGAATTCTTCTCCAGACCTTCATGCTAAGCATAGGAATGCCTGAAGGGGTGCTGATGAAGCCCATAGTCAACCACAGCAACCATTTTTATCTGAGTGCCATTTCAAGGTGTGTGTGGGGGAGGTCTTATTGGGACGAGACCAAAATTCCCCATGTGGCCTACCAACACACAGTCGTTGCTTGTCACCATATCCCTTCCCACTTACTGAATTGGGAGAAGGCAAGGAGGGAGAGCAGAGCACAGTGGGGAGAAAAGGAGACTCCTCACTAGAAGAAAGAGAAAAGCCAAAAAATAAAGAAGGGTTTCTCACTCAAGGTCTCCCACTTAGCTTCTTCAAGGAGCGTGGTGAGGAGGTGGTAGCAGGGCAGAAATGACTGGGTGGGGAAGCAACCCTCTTCATGGGTTTGATGCAGCCCATGAACTGAGTGTTGCCAATTCCAGCGAGTACAGACGCGTGGAACTATCCAATGAGCTATCTGCATAAAATTAGCCCTAGAAAATATTAGAAAACCAGTGCAGACTGTGGAGTGTCTTGCTATAATGTGATCCTTTTTGCCCATCTCCATTTATAACATTTTATTAATGTTCCAACACCTAAAAAAAAATATCACTTAAACTTAAGGACCTACAACTTAGGAGTGAGGGTGAGAATGATGGGTTTGGGATGGGGGCAGGAAATTACATACATACAATGAAGTAGATAATATTTTATCAAACGTATTTTTCCAGCTGCTTGTCAGGCATATTCCACAGTATAAGCTTGTCTTTCCTACCTTCTTTGTTATCTGATCAGCCACACTTTTTTGTGTGAGTGCTGCCTATATAAAATATTACTCTTCTCTGTAATATCAAGGAAACTATGACAAGCATTTCATGGGATCTGCTTTTCTTCCTGGAAGACAGACAGGCATTGCCTTCTGCAGTACAGAATTAGAATTTGCTGAGCTTTCTCTCTCCCTCACTCACTCTCTCTTCTCCCCCACCCCAAACAAAGAAAAGAATTTGCTGAGCCTGAATGTATGGGGCTGCATATATACATTTTAATTTTTTAAAAAATATAAATCATTTCTCAAAGACCAATATAGATATTTTCATTGGATATCATAGTGGTTAGAAAAGAGTTGAAATATGCGAGTAA